TATTTATTTATTCTTTGCACAGGCTTGCTGCAGTCTCGCTGCCGGCCTTTCTTTCCATTGGGGCCCTTTGCTTCTTCGTGGGCTCTTTGAAGGCTCTTTTGCTGCTGCCCCAAGTTGCTGCTGTGGGGCCCCACTTGTTAATTAATTAATTAATTAATTTAATTAATTAATTAATTAATTAATTAATAAATTAATTAAATTAATTAATTTGATTATTAGATGGCGAATTTGCTCGCTTGGCTGCTTGCTGGGAACGCTTCTGCGTTTTTCCCGAGATTCTGGTGCTGCTGCTGCTGCTGCTGCTGCTGCTGCTGCTGCTGCTGCTGCTGCTGCTGCTGCTGCTGCTGCTGCTGCTGCTGCTGCTGGGCGTCCCTCATGCCTTTTCTGTATCTTTTTAATTATTTTGCCTCCTATTATTATTATTATTGTTATTAATTTATTGTTCCTTTTCATTTCTTTATTATCCCTTTTTGTTTGTTTTGTTTCATTTTTTGTTTCCTTTTTATTCTTTTGTATTTTTTGTTTTTAATTTCTTTTACCTCTTTTTTGCTTCTTTTAAATTTAATACTTTATTTCTTTTTTATTTCCTTTTGTTTCTTTTTACTTCTTTTTTATTTGTTTTTATTTCTCTTTATTTCTTTTATTTCTTTTCATTTCCTTTTATTTCTTTCTATTTCTTTTTATTTCTTTTTTATTTTTTATCAGACCATTTGCAAATTAATTTAAATTAAAAATATTTATTTAAAAATGAAATGAAATAAAGTAAATTTATAAATAGTTTTTGTTTCTTCAGTTTCTCTTTTTGTTGCTTTGCAGCAGCACAGACATGTGCGGGAGCTGCAACGCCGCTGGCAGCAGCAGCAGCAGCAGCAGCAGCAGCCGCTGCAGCCGCTGCAGCAAATTGTGCAGCAGCAACAACAACAGCTGCTGCAGCAGCTGCAGCAGCAGCAGACAGAACGGCCGCCGCAGGAGGCGCAGCAACAGCCCCAGCAGCAGCAGCCGCAAGAGCAGCAGCAGCAGCAGCAGCAGCAGCAGCAGCAGCAGCAGCAGCAGCAGCAATTTGGAAGGCCTGCTTTGCTGAGTGCTGCAGCTCCAGGGTTTTCGGGGTTTTACCTGTCCATACACCTGGCTGCTGTCTTTCTTATTTGCTGCTGCTGGACTGCAGCAGCAGCAGCAGTTTTGAAGGCTTTGGCCCCACAAGCAGCGTAAGAAGTATTTATTTATTTTATTTTATTTTATTTTATTTTATTTTATTTTATTTTATTTTATTTTTGTTTTTATTCTTTCTTTTGCTTTGCATTTAAATAGTTTTTCATTTTCATTTTTCATTTTGTTTTTATTTTGCATTTTAAATAATTATTTGGCTGTTCACTTCTTTGCCACTTTTCGCTCTTTGTTGAAAAGTGGAATTTCTTTTTAATTCTTTTTTAATTTAATTTACTTTAATTAAATTCATTCTTAATTTAATATGGTTTAATTTGATTTTGTTTTATTTTCATTTTGATTCTTTTTTGATTTAATTTTGTTTTATTTTCATTTTAATTCTTTTTTAATTTAATTTAATTAATCTAATTTGATTAAATTTTCCTTTTAATTCTTTTTCAATTTAATTAAATTTAGTTAATTGATTTAATTTAATTTTATTTATTTTTCATCTTCAGGGCTCTGCTGTCCAGCCGCGCCGTGGAAGAAACCGAAAAAGAAACTTTTGGAAAAAAATAAAAATAAAAAAAAACGAAAATGCAGAATTGGCGAAGCTGCAGTTCTGAGGTGTACGTACACCCCAGCTTTGCCCGCGAGGTGTACATACACCCCAGCCGGCAGGCGGAGAAGTTCGGCGGCCCGCGAAAGCGGCTTTTTGGAATAAATAAATAAATAAATAAATAAATAAATAAATAAATAAATAAATAAATAAATAAATAAACAATAAACTAATAATAAATAAATGCTGTTCAATAGTTGCATACAATGCATGCATGCAGTTGAGACCCGCGATCGCATGCGCAGGATCACTGCATGCAAGTGAATAGAAACCCTAAACCCTAAACCCTAAACCCTAAACCCTAAACCCTAAGGGTGAAGAAAGTGAATAGATCGAAAGAACAAAAGTTCTTATTTAGTTTCACTAGATTTGATGGCTGCGAAAAGTTGTTTATTATTTCTATTTGCTATTATTTGCATGCATCATTTAGTGTTTATTATTTGTTATTATTTATTTATTATTTATTTATTTATTATTATTTATTATTTATTATTTATTTATTATTTATTTATTTATTATTTGTATTTCCTTTTGTTCTTCTGTTGGCGTTTTTTGCTGCGGCTGGACCGCCCGGGAGCCGCGGCCGCGCAAACCCTAAACCCTAAACCCTAAACCCTCGAAAGTGGGGCTTCTCTTTTGAACTGCGCTTCGCCGAGGCGAAGAAGGGGGGCAGAAGTCCAGAAGAAACCCTAAACCCCAAACCCTAAACCCTAAACCCTAAACCCCGGGGGGTGGGAAACCCTCGTCTCGGGGGTGTGGCGGCGGTGCGGCGCGGGGAAACCCTAAACCCTAAACCCTCGTTGGGGGTTTCCGGAGGCTGCGTAAACCCTAAACCCTTGTCTGGGCGGAAACGCTCGGGGGCTGCAAACCCTAAACCCCAAACCCTAAACCCTCGGGGGCCGAAACCCTCGTCTCTGGGCGGGGTTGGGCGGGGCGGGGCGGCGAAGGGGAAGGGCAGGGTTTAGGGTTTAGGGTTTGGAATTTGGGGTTTAGCAAAGGAATTAAAAAGAAAATAGTTTTAACTTCGCGCGCAAACCCTCGGAGGGTTTGGGCGGGAGCTGGACAGACACCGCGGGCAAGCGCGGCGGAGGAGGCGGGCGCCGGGTGTACGTACACCTGGGGATCTGGCGCCGCGGCGCGTTCCGGAGCGAAACTTTCGCCGGAATTAAATTAAATTAATTCATTTAAATTAGTTTTTTGAATTTAAATTGGAAAAGGACGCGCGGAATCCCGCAGGGCCGGCCCCTGGGCTGGAGAGCGGCGCCCCCGGGTGCTGCTGCAGCGGCGGGCGCGGATTTCCGGTTTTTTCGCGAAAAACACTTCAAATTTCGCCAACTTTCTTTTATTAATGCAATTAAAAAGAAAAAAAGGGTTTTTTGGAGGGTTTTGGAGGCTCGGGGGGGGCGAATCGGTGTTGGTCTGGCGGCGACCAGCGAGGCAGCTGCTGCGGACGGTCCCGAGAGCGCCTGGGGGTTTCTGCTGCTGCTTTTGACTCTTTTGTCTTTTATTTGCTCCTTTTCAAATGTAAATTTGCATTTCTTTTTCATTAAAAGTACCTTTTTAAGCTTCTGCGGCATTTAAAACCCCTTATCTGTCGCCGGCGCCCGCGGAGAACCCCACGCAGACTCAGAGGCTGTGCTGCTGCTGTGTCTGCTGCTGCTGCTGCTGCTGCTCCTTGCTGCAGTCCTTTCCCGCCTGCCTCTCCCGCCCCAGCTAACAATCCCTTTGCTGCAGCAAACTCTCTTTCCCCCTTTCCCGCTGCAGCTGCTGCTGCTGCTGCTGCTGCTGCTGCTCCGCTGCTGTGGTCGCCACGCGCCTCACGCGGCTCCGCGCCTTTTCTGTCTCGCTGCTGCTGCTGCTGCAGCAGCAGCAGCAGCAGATCCTCCTTTTCCTTGTCTCTTCTCCTCCAGCAGCCTCATCCCTGCTGCTGCTGCTGCTGCTGCAGCTCCTGCTGCTGCTGCTGCTGCTGCTGCTGCTGCTCTTTCCGACGCCTCCACTTTCGGGCGCCGCTCCAGATGTATGTACACCGCAGCCCAGCGCAAGCCTTCCTTCGCTCGCTGCTGCTGCTGCTGCTGCTGTCGTGAGCAGCAGCAGCAGCAGCAGCAAACTAGCAGCAGCAAGGCTCTTTCTCGGCCTCCAGCACTCCGCGCCGTCATGCCTCGGCTTGCAGCCCGCAGCAGCAGCAGCAACAGCAGCAACGACAGCAGCGACAGCAGCAGCAGCAGCAACTGCAGCAGCAGCAGCAACTGCAGCAGCAGCAGCAGAACTCGCGCTAGGGAACTTTTGCTTCGGCAGCAGCTTCAGAGAGTGTCCGTTTGTGGGAACGCCTGAGAGCAGCAACAGCAACAACAGCAGCAGCAGCAACTGCAGCAACTGCAGCAACTGCAGCAGCAGCAGCAGCAGCAGCAGCAAAGCAGTTTGAAACCTTCCAGCTCCAGTTGAGCTGAGCCTTTTGTTTCTTTTTAAAGTTGTCCCCGGCAGCTGCTGCAGCGCACAACAAGCAGCAGCAGCAGCAGCAGCAGCAGCAGCGTTGCCAGCAGCAGCAGACTGTTGCTGCTGCTGCTGCAGCAGATGCCGAAATGTCTCCCGCAGAAGAGACAGAAGCGCACGCCTCCAGGCGAAAGCGCCAAGCAGCAGCAGACACTGCTGCTGCAGCAGCAGCAGCAACTGCTGCTGCTGATGCTGAGGAGACAGGTGCCGTCAAGCGGCACCGCAGCAAGCAGCAGCAGCAGCAGCAGCAGCAGCAGCAGCAGCAGCAGCGGCGCGGATCAGAGCCAGAGGTGCCCTCTTTAGGGGCCTACTCATCCGTATCAGGAGACAAGTCCTGGAGCGAAGAGGGAGAGCAGCAGCAGCAGCAGCAGCTGCTGCTGCAGCAGCAGCAGGTGGACATCTCACCATGTGAAGACAGTGCCACGGCTGCTGCTGCAGCAGCAGCAGCAGCTGCTGCTGCTGCTGTTGGCGGTGGAGTTGAGGGATGCGGTTTTGCGGGCCGAGGGGGCTCAGCAGCAGCAGCAACACCATTTGCTGCTGCTGCTGCTGCGCTGCAGCAGCAGCAGCAGCAGCAGTGCTGCTTGGCGGACGCTGAAGCCCCATTTGAGGGCCTGGAAGGGAAGGGCCCTGCTGCTGCTGCTGCTGCTGCTGCGTCAGCAGCAGCAGCAGCAGCAGCAGGAGGCCCCGCGTGCGCAGCAGCGGCGAAGGGCCCAGCAGCAGCAGCAGCAGCAGCAGCAGCAGCAGCAGCAGCAGCAGAAGCAAGCCTCAGCCGCAGCGACTTCGAATGTGATGTTCCTGGTGTCCGATTTGACCAAAGAGACAGAGCCTGGCTGGCCACTTGGCATGATGGTATTATTAATTATTTATTTATTTATTTAATTATTTATTTTATTTATTTATTTATTTTATTTATTTATTATTTATTTATTTATTATTTATTTGTTGTTAATTTAATTTAATTTAATTTGTTTAATTAATTTAGTTTGGTTTAATTAATTATTTAATTAATTAATTTCATTGTTTATTTATTTTATTTATTTATTTAATTTAATTACTTAATTTAATCGATTAATTTAATTTCATTAATTTAATTTAATTTAATTGATTTAATTTGATTGATTGGTTTAATTAACTTAATTAATTTAATTTAATTTAATTTAATTTAATTTAGTCAATTTAATTTAATTATGTAATTTTATTTAATTAATTAAATTAATTAAATTAATTAAATTAATTAAATTAATTAGTTGGATTTGATTTGGTTCGTTTGAGTCCTTTTGCTGCTGCAGCAGTTTGCTGCCCCAGTTTCGCTTTTCACTTCTTAACAAATTTATTTAAATTAATTTAAATAATTTAAATTAATTTAAATAACTTAAATTAATTTAAATTAATTTAAATTAATTTAAATTAATTTAAATTAATTTAAAATAATTTAAATTAATTAATTAGGTTTAATTAAATTGGTTTAATTAAATTTAATTAATTAAATTAAATTAATTGAAATATAATTGAATTTAATTAGGTTGGTCAAATTTGAATTAAATTGAACAAAATTAAATTAATTTAAATCAATTTAAACAGATTTAAATTCATTTAAAGAGATTTAAATGAATTTAAATTCATTTAAATAGATTTAAATCCATTTAAGTAGATTTAAACTGATTTAAATGCATTTAAATCCATTTAAATTCATTTAAATTCATTTAAATAGATTTAAATGGATATAAGTTGATTTAAATTCATTTAAATGGGTATAAATGGATTTAAATGAATAAAAATGTTGAAATAAAAATTAAAATTAAATTAAAAATTAATTTTAAATAAATAAAAATGTTGAAATAAAAAATTAAAATTAAATTTAAAATTATTTTTTTGCTGCTCAGGACGGCGCCACGTGAAGCGCTGCTTCGGAGTGAAGAAATATGGATTTTATAGAGCGAAGTATTTGGCGAGAGCAACAAAAGTGCTTTTTATTAAAAGTTTGGGAGACCGCCGCAGCAGCAGCAGCAGCAGCAGCAGCAGCAGCAGCAGCAGCAGCAGCAGCGGGGGGGGCGGCGCTGCAAGCGGCGCTGCAGCAGGCGCCAGCAAAGCTGCGCTGCAGGCTCTGCAGCCAGCTGCAGCAGCAGACGCAGACGCAGCAGCAGCAGCAGCAGCTGCTGCTGCTGCGGGGCTGCTCGAGCAGGAGGCGCAGCAGCAGCAGCAGCAGCAGCGGAGGCAGCAGCAGACGGCTGCTGCAATGCGCCTCAGGGACAGTGCAGCAGAGAAAGAAAAGGACCAGCAGCAGCAGCAGCAGCAGCAGCAGCAGCGCTTGCTGCTGCTGCAGCAGCAGCAAATGTGGGCCTCCCCAGAACTCCTGAGAGCAGCAGCAGGCCTCATGCTGCCTTCCCCCCCGAGGACTCCCCTATCAGCCGACGCGAGCTGCTGCAGCAGCAGCAGCAGCAAGGGTGCAGCAGCAGCAGACGCCGCAGCAGACGCAGCCTCCTGCGCAGCAGAAACTGCAGCAGCAGCAGCAGCAGCAGCAGCAGCAGCAGAGCCGGAGCTGTCTTCGAACGAGCTCGAAGCAGCGCCGGCGCGGCGGAGCATTTGCTGGCGCGCTGCTGCTGAAGACGGCTACTTGCGGCTGCTGGACTTAATGGACAAAGTCAAATGGGACACTCTTAGTGCTGAAGAAGCAGCAGGACTTATAAACGAAATTCCCAGAGTTCGAGGTAAATCTTTTTTTCTTTTTTTCTTTTTTTGTTTTTATTTCTTTTCTTTTTTGTTCTTTTTGTTTTCTTTTTGTTTTCTTTTTGCTTCCTTTTCATTTCTCTTTTTGTTCTCCTTTTTCTCCTTCTTTTTCTGCTTCTCACTTGTGTCTACTTGCTTCTCGGCAGTTTGCTGCTGCTGCTGCTGCTGCTGCTGCTGCTGCTGCTGCTGCTGCTTTCCGGTTCCCTGCTGCTGCTGCTGCTGCTGCTCCCGCGCCGCTGCTGCTGGCTGCGCGCGTGCTGCTGCTGCTGGCGCACCGCCCTTTCCCCGCCGCTGCTGCTGCTGCAGCGCACTCACCGCTGCTGCTGCTGCTGCTGCTGCTGCTGCTGCTGCTGCTGCTGCTGCTGCAGGGGTTTGCTTCGACCGCAAGGGTTTGTACTGGATCAGCCAGTGGCACGCGCGGCAAAAGAAACACCGAGAGTGGTTTCCAGTAAAAAGATTAGGGTTTAGGAGGGCCTGGAGGTTGGCGGTTTGCATCCGCAGAGACGCGGAAAAAGTGGAAG